TTAAAAAAAAATCTCACCACTTTCACGGCTCATATATCTTTCAAGCTTATCTCCACAGCAGCAAGGGTATGGAAACCAAAATTCTCAAGAAGCTGACTCTAGAGTCCAAATCCCACGCTTACCACCACACGCGAAAAGAGGCAGATATTCCTTTATTTACAAAACGGTTGAATTGCTGTTCCAGTTCAAAGTAATATACATGAAAGGGATTAAACCACATAAAACCAAACGATAAAAATCACAGCATGCCATTGCAGACACTTAGCCAAAACACAGAAAGTGAGCCGAAGTTGGAAGGCAAACTTAAAAAAACAGTCAACATGGGAAGAGAAATGTATTATATTCTGGCAGTGGAATGAGGGCAGTGAGGGGGTCAACCGGTATGCTAAGCCGTTCTCTTGACTCCTATCTCCCCGCCTCCCTATGGAAAATTCACCGCTCATTCTATCCGTGGCAGGAAGTTCAAATGGGGATCCTAACACATCACAGCCCAGAATCCCCCTGGTCCAAGAACCAGGTGGCCCTGGAGAGCCATTTCTGAGCCGCTGCCTGCTGTACTGTAACTCCATGACCCACCCCAACCCATCAATTCTGGGCAATTTAGGCTGCTGCTCAGACACAAGGGACTGGCCCATACTGGACAGCCTTTCATTTGGAGCCTAAATTTTAGAGAAGCCACAAGGCAATCCTTCCTTGCTTCTATTCTACCCAGTGGCATAGCAAGAGTTGCCAGGGCCCGGGGCAAGGCAAGTATCATCCTGGAATGAAGGGGCAATAGCTCAGTGATCTGAGTGGCAGCCATGTTGCCCTGTGCGTGTCAAGGACATCAGAGAGCAGGGCAGGATTGGTCGGGAGAGGCTATCCTTCTAAAGTCCAGGCAGAGGGCACTCCGGCAACCAACCATTGCCCAAATCTGCTCCCCAGTCTGCTGTGTGAACATTGAGAGATTTTATGTGTGAGCGGCAGGGCACGCCATTTATTTATTATGACTGCTTTCTCTTTTTTCTTTTGAAATGTTGTGCCCCTAAGAATGTTACACCCTGGCAAAGACACATGCCCGACTGGCATGTTCTCTCCCTCCTGGTCGATCGTTCGGGAGCTTGAAAAGCTTTCTTCTGCCCGAACACCACAGCGACCGATGCCAACAGACATCGGCACACTTAGGTATCTGTAGAGTTTGCGCAGCTTGCGTAACAGACCTCAGCAACTCAGCATTTTGGCTAATCTACTTTATTTACATATAAACACACACGGAGCACTGCAACATGGCTCCCTCTCTCTCTAGCATCAGACAGCAAAGAGAAAAAACAAAGGACAATAGTCCCACTTCACGGAACACAGGAACACAAACATCCTGTCTCTGTCACTTCCCACTCTGTGGAGTCAAAATATACACCGTCATTTGATAGACAAAAATCCCATGACTGCAATAATAGAGTGGGAATTCTAACAGCTTCATGGGAGGTGTTTGGACTAGATGATCTGTCTGAGGACTAGATGAGGTCTGTCACACAAGGTGCACAAACTCTGTGGATCCCTAAGTGTGCCGGTGTCGGTTGGCATTGGTCGCTGTGGTGTTCGGGCAGAAGAAAGCTTTTGAAGCTCCTGAACGATCGACCAGGAGGGAGAGAACATGCCAGTCAGGCATGTGTCTTTGCCAGGGTCCTACTCGAGTGTAGGCTCAACTCCTGACATCTCCTTCCCACAGGAGGCAGCAAGGGCCACCAACATAGTGTTAAAAGAAGACTGGACATATTCACTGACAAAAGGGCTATTGATTTTTTTTTTTTTTATAGTTTTTTTATTGATTTTACAAACATAT